CGAGGTCCCCCAGCGCGAGGGCGTCGTCGTGCTGGATGCGTCGGCGCAGCTCGCCCAGGCGGTTGCAGGCGGCGCCCAGGCCGGGGGCCGGGCGGCAGGCACGAGGCAATCTCGCGCCTCACGCGCGACGCGAGCTTGCACCCGCGGCCGTTGGTGGTGACGCCGATCTGCAGCGGGCCGTCGGTGTGTGTCGAGAGCAGGCTGAAGGTGCTCAGGAGCGGAGCGTCGACGACGTTGACGGGGATGCGGTTGCGCCGGCACACGGACGATATGCGCGCCGCCAGCGCCTCTCTCGGCGCCGACGTGACGAAGACGGCGTCGACGGTGCGCCCGACCTCGTCCCTGCCCAGCGTGAACAGGTCCTCGTCCTCAAACGCCTTCTGGTGCCAGCGTACCAGGCCCTGCTCGATCTTGGTCTGCAGGTTGTAGTGTAGGTCTGCGCCGGCCGGGGCCACGAGCACGGGACAGGCGCCGGCAGCGAGGGACGCCGTGCAGCGCGCTGCCGCGAGCGGGTTCGTCCCGACGACGAGGTGGATGTTGTCGGTGCAGTAGACGCCCGCGAGCATCGTGTTGGTGTCGTGAGCCATGGCGACGTCTGGCAATGCATAGACGGGAGGAAAGCATTCGCAGTTGGCTGTTGTGTGCAGCGACGCCGTGTATTTTAGACTCGGGCCCCCGACGACCCGGGAAGCACGCCATTTAGTTGGTTTTTCACCTGGATGACATCTGCCTTATCATTCTTGCTTGTTCGCTCGCCGATTTCCGCGATACCCCGATTTTTTTGCTTGCCAAATCTGCGCCTGATGTGACGCCATTGAGCTAACCCCGGAAAATGGGGCCGCTATCGGACCAATCATGCGGCGGGGATTAGGAGCCTCGAGACCCCTGGTGAGTCCCTTTTTCGGGTCGTCGCGGGGTCGAATTGATAGCGGACGTGTCTTATCGCCTTTTTTTGCTCGTCCTCGGAGATGTTTGTTCTCGTTGTTTCAGCTATGTGCTTTGCGTGGTAGTTATAGTACAGCTCCGTTGGGGGAGATATCCTTTTCCGATGCCTCTCATTATATAGTTTACAGTGGTTGTACAAGGTTTCTCAGCGCATTCGTGCCCGTCTTTCCGCCTCTTCCAGCTCTGCCTCGGCTTCCTCGTCGAGCTCCCTGTCTAGTTGTGCCTCTTCTCTGGCTTCCGCATCAAACAGCTCCTTCATCAAGTCGCGCTGCTTGGCGGCCTTGCTCTTGGGCCTCCTGTCCTTGAGCGCATTCTTCTCCGTCGCTGAGAGTCGCCCGCTGTCCATGGCAATCTCGACTCTGCGAGGCTTCTTGCCGTCGGCGGCCGCTGCACGTTTCCCTCCGTCGTCTTTGCCGATGCCAGCCCTCACGTTGCGCGCCACTCTCGTCTTTGCCCCCAGTGCCCATAAATCCCCCCATCTTGACTTTCGCGCATCGTGGTAGGCGAGCTTGCTGAAACTCTTGGGCACCGTCCACCGCTCAATCTTGCCTTCTGGCGTGCAGAGATCCAATGTTACGTGGCCTTTGCGCTTGAGCGGCGGCAGGACAAGTCGCGGCAGTGTTTGCATGTCGGGATGTTCTTGTGATTTCTCGTAGCCTTGGAATGCTAGCGCCGTGGCTTCTGGCCCCGTGAGCTGGCTGCTCCTGGGCGAGCCTCGCCGGATCGCAACGTAGCTGAACTCGACTTCGCCCTGGTTGTTTGCATGCTTTCCGAGCATCTGGCTATAGAATGACGGCTGCACGAAGCGCTGGTTGAAGTGGCAGTAATCCTTGCGGCCCTTGCTCTTGCCGGATTCCTTGTACATGGGGCATGGCCCGTGGTTGGAGCATGGCGCGATGATGTGGCCCGGCTCAAGCTCCCGATGATATGCTGGGTTGAAGTCTTCGGCGCTGACTCTGGCTTCCCCAGACTGTGGGAGGAGGAACTGGTTGAGTACAGTGTCTCGAACATGAGCCACCGCCTCGAAGCCTCTTGGGTGCGCCTTTTCAATGACGATGAGAACACCGCCGTTCTTATCAAGCAGACTCCAGAGGTTGTTGAGAATAGCCTGTCTGTAGTGGTCCTGCTTCTCCTTGAGGAACAGGTGCGAAGCAATGATGATGTCAAAGCTCTTTCGAGTCTGTGGCTTGGTTCCGGCGTCAAGATGTTCACCTTGCATTTCACCCGAGTGTTCGTAGTCGGGCAGCCGTGGCAAAAATGTCGTGTTGTGTAAAAAGTTCTTCAGGCGGTGCCTGAGGCGATCTGAAGCTGCAATAACCGTCTTCTTGCCCGTTGGCTGGGGCCCTCTGACCTCGCCCTTCTCCTTGAGCAAGTCCCATTCGGCATTGACGATTTGCTCCCACGCGATTAAGCCAGCACCGCCAGCACCTGCATCCAAGACGCTTAACCCGCCCTGTTCGCCCTGCTTGAGGCGAGACTGTATCCATTCACTGCCTACTCGCTTCCGAACTTCTCGTAGAATCGACATGATCGAAGCGTATGCCGGAGGTAGATAGCCCGCGAGGAACGCATCTGCTTCAATTTCAGACATCTGTCGCTGATCAGGAGGGAGCCCAACTCCTCCCATCAGGCCATTTTTGCGTCCTTCGGGCGTGGAGGGCGAGGTTGGGAGACCCGGTCCGCCAAAGGCTGCCTCCGCGGCTTGTTTGACATGTTTCAGATGAGTTCGCTCCAGAAGTTCCCGGATAGGTGATATCAACTCGTCTCTGGGCAGCGGTATTTCGACAGGGCTACCGTGAAACCTGCCCTCCAGAGTGTATCGATGGAATCGCCTGGTTTCTCCCAACTCTCGTTCGCCAAACACTTGCTCTTCTTCCGGCAGCCAGGACGAAGTTCCATCCTCTTCCATAGCTTCTTCCTCTATGTCCACTTTCTCATCTTCTTTCTGGACTCTGCTCTTCTGAGCGGATTCAAAGTCCTCCGCTAGTCTCTTCAGAGCATCATGTTCCCTCTGGCTTCGAGCCACAATATCCACATACCCAGGAGATTTTTCAATGATATCGTGTTCTCTGGTGTCAGGGTATTCCGTATCAATCTCATGCGACTCCTCCTTGGGCTGTGCTTGTCGGTCGATTTTGTAGGTCACCTCTTCAAACTCGCCGCCTTCAAGCTGTCGCAGCAGGGTGCCCTCGTCGTCCGGCCGGGGGGGAACAGGTCCCATGTCCGCATGGGTGTCAATTCCGACATCTTCTGGTAGGGTTTCTCGCAAGGGTGGTCCATACAGTCGTTCGTACAGCGCATACTCTTGATCGTTGAGGTAGCCGCGCGGTAGTGTGTCACGAAATCGTTGCTTTGCATCCCGCACAACCTTTTCGATGTCTTCTTGGCTTGTTGATTCTGACTCTATCAACTGGCTTGCTCTTAGTGATCTGGAAATAGAAAAATTTCGCCCCGCGAGAGCTGTGCAAAATGCGCCGCCCCCAGTGACGTTTGAAACCGAGCCTCTTTGCGCCGTGACAAATGACGAATGTGAAGGAGAATTTCTTAAAAAAAGCGAGGTAGAATAGCCATAACTAGAATATGCATGTCGGATGCCTCTAAATGACAACATTTTTACAACATATTGTACAAGTGTGTGCTGCAGGAGGGAAACGCGCAGAGGTCAAGGTTGGAGCTTTTTCTTTATCGCGTTATCACGTGATCGCGATACTTTGTAATGCTGTTGGCGTGATTGGGTGATCACAGTTGCGAAAGGTCCCCTTCAAAACGGGATGATACTAGTTGCAGAGGGAAGAGAATGTATTTGAAATTTATGCGTATTTGGGACACCGAGTCTTGCCGGTGACTGTAGACTGCGTGCGAGAAGGCTGCCATGTGCCGATGGTGGGCTGCGTTGGCCGCAAGGCAATTGGTGGTGAACCTCCTTGGCAGCCTGGAAAGTTATATTTACCTATTGCCAAGTATACACCAATAATACAGTATGTAGAAGTATAGAGGGCAATTACCAGATACATGCCCTGATCAAATACTCCCTTTCTGTTATAGTTACTCACATGCCCCATTGCAATAGTCTGGAAGTCGAACCAGCGCTTAGTTCTCTCGTTGAACCATGTATTACAATAACCTTCTTTGTATTTGGAATGGATGAAGAAATCCTATCATGTCCCACAACGCCATGCAAATAACTAAAGCCGCTCACACCTGCCCATTTCGGTCATAGATCGGCCAACGTCTTAAACGTGGCCCTCTGTTGGGGATGGGTTGCACCCCCCGAAGCTCTCGCACCGGATCCAGTCCCAGTCCCAGCCCCAGAAGCTGCTGGCGACGCGCGTGGAGGAGCAGGTCTCTGCGGCGCTTTATGAATGTTGAACCGCGACTGCTCAGCAGCCTTTTGCGCGTCGAACTGTAAGAAAAACTCAGTCAGCAACTTCTCTTCCTTTGACAGCTAGTCCTCTTTTTGGTTACGTGCCGAAAACAAGGACACCAGGTACAGGCCAACAAAGGCGATAAGAAGGTTCAACAAGCCGCTGTAGTTGAAGCCGCCGCCCGCAGAAGGCGAACCTCCCCCCAGAGTTCGACCAGGGGTCTTGAAGAGACCATCGGCAGATTTGCCGCTACCTGCGAGCTGGACCGCCTTGGTAACAGCCTCAGAGAGAGCGGTCGGATTGGCACCCTGGATAGTCTCGACGCAGGTGCCGTTGTGAAAGATTTTGAAGGTGGGCATTGCAGACACACGGTTCTCCTTGGCGACTTCGGGTTGGGAGTCGACGTTGACTTTGGCAAAGGCCACCTTCTTGGGAGAAGAGTGCTGGCTTGCGAGACGCTGGAAATGAGGAGCGATCATCTTGCATGGTCCGCACCAGTCGGCATAGACTATCATGAGTTAGTTAACCTGTTGCGTGGACTCCCCGGTTGCGGGGCAATGGCGTGAATCATACAGTCGGCGACGACTACGGAGGTGCTGGAGAGCAGAGACTGCCACTCCGAAGGAGACTTAATCTCAACAAGACCGCTCATTATGTCCACGTTGACCTGTGTAAAGTCTGCAGTGAGATTGATGGATGAGATGGAGAAGTGGACAGCAATGCAGCATGATGCCATCTCCAACAGCTGGCTGACCAACCAACAGGTGGCGTGAAGCTAGGATTGGCAGGCGGTGAAATGAGGTGCGCCGCTTTCTGCCGGAACTATTGAGCTGCCTCGACTTTTCTACAACCCTCACCGACCAGGGTTCCCATATTGACAACAATTTTGATAAACAGCTGTATAAAAAAAGCCATCATGTCTTTTCACGAGCGTAAGAATAAAGTAAGTGTATCCCTGTAGAATTGATAGTGAATCGCAACCTTACCAGGCAAAAAGAAGCGGAAGACGGCCCACAATGGCCAGCAAGATAGAACTTCATTCAAGCCCTCTGCTAGCTTCGCTCCCACGGAAGGCGGCAGAGATTGGACGGTATCAGTCGCCATCCCAACCAGCATCTTGACCAAGTAAGCCCTCTTGGTACGCCCCGTATACTGCCCGCGCAATGGCCTACTAACACACGCCTCCTAGCCTAGCGACCGCGGACCAACGCATGTCCATACCGGGACGAATCGCCCGCGCCCTCGCCGTCTTCGCCGTTGACGAGGTCGTCGTATTCGACGACTCGCCAGCCTCCTCCCGTCCGCGACAAACAGACACAGCGGGCTACACAGGCGACACCGACCCGGCCCATTTCCTCACACACATCCTCTCGTTCCTCGAAGCGCCGCCGTTCATGCGCAAGGCCCTCTTCCCACTACACCCCAACCTCCGCTTGACCGCGCTCCTCCCCAGCCTGGACATGCCTCACCACCCCAATCCCAAAGATTGGATCTCCTACCGCGAGGGCGTCACCATTCCCGGCAAAACCAGCACAGGAAGCGGCACCCTCGTGGAGGTCGGACTCGACGAACCCGTCGAAATCGAAGAGGACATCCCGCCCAAGACCCGCCTCACTCTCCTCTTCCCCGACGACCAGTCCCAGTATCCCCAGTGCGTGGACCCCCAAGCGCCCCGGACAGAAGGCGGCTACTACTGGGGGTATACCGTCCGAAAATGCCCCTCCCTCAGCTCAGTGTTTACGGAAAGCCCGTACGAGGACGGCTATGATTTCAGCATCGGCACCTCGGAGCGCGGGACCCCCATCTCCAAGGCATTCTCGTCGAAACCCCTCAAATTCAAGCACCTGCTCATTGTGTTTGGCGGACCGCGCGGGCTGGAGTTTGCGTCCATGAACGACGAGGAACTGGTAAAGATGGACATCCAGGGCGGCCGGACGAGGGAGCTGTTCGACCAGTGGGTGAATGTGCTCCCGGGGCAGGGCAGCAGGACGATTCGGACCGAGGAGGCGCTGTTTATCGCGCTGACGGCGCTGAGGGGACTGTGGGACGGCAAGTAGGTAGCTGTGGATCGATACCCGTGACGAAGACGTGCAAATGACTGTAAAAGTGTTTCATATATTGACCGAGCCGTGGTACATCTGCTCTAGCCTCGTGGAATATAAGCATGCTGGTTTCCTGCAATGTCGTACATCCAGTCATCCACATCGTCGGCTCTCGTCCGACTTTGGACGTGGGCATGCACCAAAACGTACATGAGTCCATGACGCACATTGCATCTTTTCATCTTGAAAGAGCCTATTGTTGAATATCCTGCCTTCTACCGTCAAGTACCCGAAAAAAAAAACGCCATCTATGCGAGCCCCTGTCGCCGATATTTCACATTTACACATCTAACTTCTGAATGGCCCCTCTGAATTGTATGTGTATCTGCCATTCATTCCCATCATCCATCATCGCCGAGTCTCGGCATCCATAGCCACCGCCTTGGCGATATTCTCCTCCGCCGCGGGCGACGCCATGCCCTTCTCGCCGGCTCTCTTGCGCAGGACATTCTCGATAAACGCCTCGCCGGCCTTGTAGGATGAGCGCACCAGAGGACCGCTCGCACAGTAGAGGAAGCCCATGTCCAGGGCTCGCTGGCGCCACATTTCAAACTCGTCGGGCGTGATGTACTTTTCGACCTTTAGGTGGCGCTTCGTGGGGCGCATGTACTGGCCAAAGGTGACGACGTCGACGTCTACTTTTCTGAGCTCTATAACGGGCTGTTAGCAGTGCTCATGCAGACAGAGAAAAGAAGGGGGGGAAGGGGGGGCATGTTGTAAGTTCCAGTACGTACCCCGCAGAGCATCCATCACCTCGTGCTCCTGCTCGCCGAGGCCGAGCATGATGCTGGTCTTGGTGATGATGCCCTCCTTGCCACGCACGTCCTTTACGTGCTTCAGCACCTTCAAGCTCTGCCGGAACGTGGCCCTGCGGTCGCGGACGTACGGGGTCAGGGCCTCGACGGTCTCGACATTGTGCGCGTACACGTCCAGCCCGCTCTCGGCCACGATCTTGACCATGTCCAAGTCGCCCATGAAGTCGCCCGTCAGCGCTTCCACCAGCAGCGATGACCTCTTCTGCTTAATCTTGCGAATCGTCTCGGCAAAGTGCCTGGCGCCCCCATCGGCCAGGTCATCTCGGTCGACGCTCGTCAAAACGACGTAGCCCAGGCCCCATCGCGCAAGGGCCTCGGCAGTGTGTTCCGGCTCGTGGGGGTCCAGCGGCGCGGGCGCCCTGTTCGTCTTTACGCTGCAGAAACGACACCCTCGCGTGCAGGTGTCGCCCATGAGCATAATGGTTGCAGTGGCGGCGCTCTTATCTGAACCACCCCAGCACTCGGAGATGTTGGGGCATCGTGCCTCTTCGCATACGGTGTGGAGGCCAAGACCTCGCAGATCGCTCTTGATCTTCTTGAAGTTGTCGTTTCCTGCGGGAATCGGCGTCTTGAGCCACTCGGGCAGTCGTGTGATTGTTCTCTTCTTGCCGGCTGGCCCGACTTCGGCGGTTCGGAGAGAGTAGGCCTCTGAGGTGGAGAGCTGCTGGGCTGGGGACGAGGTAGCGATGAAGTCGGAGAATGATGCGACGTCTGTATCTTTGAAGTAGGTCTTGCGCCTTGGTTTGGCGGCTTTGGCCGAGTCGCTAGGAGAAGGGACTGTGGCAAAGGATCGGGCGGCGGCGGGCGTGCTGCATAGTGCTCTACGAACAGGAGCTTGCGCCCTCTGCAAAGATGAGGCCATGGACGCCATGACTTGGTGGATTGATCAAGCTGCAATACAAGCCCTCTGCCGCGTTGTGATGCAGAGGAGAAATTATCTCACGGGCACCAGTGGAAGAAGATTGATGGGGATGGGACGTCCGTCAACCTGGAGGAAGATCCACTCTGGATACCTTGTACATAATAGCCTGCATGCTTTAGTGGTGGATGGAAAACAGTTGGGTAATAGTGGCACCCGGGGGGAGGCGGTCGGCGGTTGGCGGTTGGCGCTCTGGCATCAGAGAATATTGCGTATTGCAATTGAAGTACTACATACTTGAAGGTACCTACCTATGCCACTATTTCTGCAGTATATTCGTATAGAGCGCGGTACCAGATCTGGCCCAGTACTTTTTCCCTCATTCTGCATGGCGTGCTAAGTGCACCGCCCGGCGCGGTTGTCCAATAGACACCATGTTTATTAATAATGGCATGGCCATACCATCCGTATAAATAAGACGTGGTCATGAATGCCGCGTAATTTATTTATTATTTGTGTTTGGGATATGCAAAGGTAGATGCGTAGATTCGTAAGCAAATGGTATATAAGCTAAGCTATCCAGTGTCTATCTCCCGCTAATGCATGCATAACTTTTCACATCTAGTTGGTTACACGTTTAATTCCTTAACTTTCTCCGCGACACCGTCGACCTCGACAACATGGCCTGGGTGGCGTGTGCCCTTGTTTTTGACCTTTTTCTCCTTCTTTGGTGGCGGCGGGTAAGCCTTGAGAGCAACCTCTTGCCAGTCCTTGGACGCCTGGTAAGCTGCCTGCATAGGGGCAAGCAGCTCGTTCAGGGCCTTGGCGACTGCAGGCTTGAGTAGTTGCGGGTTGAGCTGCAGTTTCACCATGTCAGGGCCTTTTCTTTGAACAGAACGATTGTTGCGCGGGACTTGGGTAGCGAAAGAGTAAACATACCACATCATTTTTGTAGTCCTCCTGCATCTGGGCAATATTGTCGTACACCAGGGGCTCGAGACCATCTCGCTCGCGGTCTACAGTGAATGATCTCTTTCCATTCTTCAGACCAGACGCTGGCAGCAGTACGAACTCGACAAAAGCAAGCACGCCGTTTTCCTCAACGACCTGCGGTGCAGCCACAGCTTTCTTGATTTTCTTGGAGACAACTTCCGGGGCGTCCAGGAGGTCAATTTTGCTATCTGTACTTTTGTTAGCCTCTATCAACTAGGCGCATATAGACAGGATGAAAATTGGGTAATTACCTTGGTCGCTTGAGCTCATTTTACCACCCTGAAGACCAGGAACCATGGGGTTGAGCAAATGCGCACGCTAAAAGATACAGTTACCACATCAAATTGCTTGATTCGCGTAGCCTGTGCGAATGGCATAACAGACGTACCTGCTTGTATCCGATCTTGGGTAACCACTCCTTGGCCGCGGTGAATAGCTTTCTCTGATCCAGACCACCAAACTGCGCATCAACATCCAGGTACTGCTCGTCCAGCACCTGCAGGACAGGGTAGAGTAAACCACTCATCGGGGCATTGGCCGTCTGCTTAACAACCTCAGCACCTGCCCTCTTAGCATCGTGCTCGGATATCAATGACGACAGCTTGTAGATGTCCATGATGTATTCGGGGCTCTTCTGGTAAGAGCTTCCCTGGACAAATCGCAATTTCTCGGTCGATACGCCGACGGCTTCCAGCATGGCAGTGATGACATAACGGTAGAAGTGGACGCGTTGCTCGACAAGCTCGATGGGCGCTTTTAGGTTGTCGAGGAACCCATGGATGTCGGCAAGGAGAATGGTGACATCGCAGCCCGCGGCGAGAAACTGGGCAATCTTGATGGCGGGCACAAAGTAGCCGCAATGAGGGCGGCCAGTGGTGGCAGTACCTGGTTAGGGAGGAGGCACATTAGCATTTGGTTTTGGGGAGTAGGCGATTATTGGCTATTGATGAGTGAATGGACACGTATGTAGCCGTCGAACGAAATGTACATACCCCAGTAAATCTTCGGATGTCTCCCCTCGTCGAGAATCTTTTCGATGATTTCGGGGTTGAGAACCTCTGCGAGGTTCTCGCGAATGATATCGAACTTGTCCTTAGCGCTGGCGTCTCCCATTGTGTTATAAAAAATGCAGTCGAAGCAGACAATTGAATGGCGAGGAGAGAGCTGTTCTGGAAAGAAAAGGTAATTTCTGGCCTTAATGTATGACTCGGGATCATGTTGGAAGGTGACTCAGCGCACTGGTTGCGTTCGACCTCACAGTCCCCACAACTGGCGGCAGGTGCCAATCACATAACAAGAAAGTCTCGAGCACCTTCCTCGTGAACTTTTACAAGCTTGCCAGATTCTTCTCCAGCCCGGGCAGGCAATCCTTAGCTGTCTTTTGAGGCAAGTCCGTTGTACGATTGATATTCCAATATTCCGTACAACTCGGTATCTACCCCTTGTTATAATTCGTAGATGTGTATGGGTTGATATTTGATGGCTGTTCCCGCTCACCCAAAGAGCAATCTGGGACGACAGTTCGCAATGCCGGCGGGGCAAGTCAATGCATGTGGGGTGGTTTGACATCGGTCAATGGTGGGGTGAATCGGGAGAGAGGGGGAATTTTGCGCAGGCCAAACTTGAAACTTTTTTTTGCCGCCCGCCGCAGCTTCACCGGACACACCGACTGGCCATGTGGCTTTCGAAGGCTTTCAATGTTGTCTACGTGTACCAATTGACTCGTCACCAGCACCCTGATTCGGGCCCCTTTTCTGCGTGCCATTAGAGACGCCGAGGAATGACTTGATGGTCTGTTCCAGAATAGCAGGGTGCACACTCGAAACCGCCAACATTTCGCTATAATGAGTAAAGCAGCCATTCAAGCATGAGTCAGCGCCCGAGTCCATTTGAATTCGACTGTTTTCAGAATGTGTCACCACGTGTCGCTATGTCCCCGGCAACAAGTCCATAAGAGTGCTTCCGTGTGAACACGCGAGGTGAAATAACTGCCATTTCCGTCTCTAGACTGGCTACGCCGGGAAGTTCCCAATTATTGCAAGGCGTTGATCAGCGAAGCTTGCAGTGGACTTTGAGCCATCCATGGCATGGCGTATGAAGCAAAAATAGCGTGTACAATCCATCCAGGACCGTAATCCGAAGGAACGCCATCGAGAAATGAATCAATTTCTTTGGTACTCTTGGCTGTTTGTGTCGGCCTCATTGTGATGAGACGTAGGGGCTAGGCTCCTCAGAACTACTCTCTCAGAATGAGCAGAAAAAAACAACCTCCAAGATGAGGGCTGGCG